TGTTCATGTGGGAGGGCTCTGTGCTGCTCCCCATGTGAAGAATAAGGTATGGGGGAGTTGGTGTGGGACTTCCAGGCTTTTTCCTGTATGAGGTAGGGGCAGGGGGGTTGGTTTGGGAGTTTTTAATGTCTGTTTTTATATGGAGCAGGGTGAACTAAGGAGTTCCTGTATTGACAGCAAATTTACCCTTATTCCTGTTTTCAGGCTTCCATTAATTTCATTGCATCGCAGGATGACAGCAAATCAGTAAGTACATCTGCCGTGAGATCTTATTGTAGTGTCCCTATGTTTCCTCCTGCATTTTGAGCTTGCCTCGTCCATCTATGTGTGCTCACTTCCAGCCCTACAGACCTCACTATTGGCTCTTGTATTCTCTTCTTTAGCCCACCATTATACCTGAAGTTTGTACAAATGCACTAAGCCTTAAATTTTCCTGATTTGAAAGCTTGATGCAAGTATTTTTGCAGCTTTTATTCCTGTTTACGCTTGCAGCTTTCACTCATGTAGTTTCAGCTGGCTCACTCAATTCCTACCTCTGCTCTCTCTGGTATCTGATGTTTTGTTCCCTTCCGCACAACATCCAACAGTGATGGCATCTAGGTCAAACCTCAGACACTTTTTTCTGCTCCTCACTCCTGCCTGTGTTTGCATTTCTAACTGGAGCCCTAGTTGGGGCTCAGTTCAGTTGCACGCCAGGCTTTTGCTATTACCCACTCCTGACTGGTGTTTCCCAACTGCATCTCCCATTCATGATGCTTGCATTCTCCCAAACTGACGTACTCATGCCATACCCCTCCGACCCTTGCAGCTGCCTGCTATTATGGCAGATTCTTGTGTCCTGGGCTTACCCTTTGGGCCTCATCTTTACCCTAACTAGTCTGAAGCTCAAGCTCTCTGCCTGTCCAAAATACTTCCACCAGAGGCATTGCCTGCTATTTGCTTCAGTAGCTCTTCCTCCCAGGCTGGTAGAGGGAGTTAGTAGCACAGCTGAGGAATTGAGCTCAGATGCATGGATTTGCCTTATTCACTTGCATGTCAGAGCCATCTTGCTGTCCTAACTGCTCATTTCTCTTCCCTGCCTCTCTTCTCTTCCTCTGCCCTTTCCCCTGTTGTGTGGTATTGGCACAAGCAGACCAAGCCAGGCGTCATTCAGCCTCTCTCCCGAGTGCGACAGAACACTGCCTCACGTAATTTGGAGGACGGGGACAGCCCCAATCCCTTCCAGCAACATGAGCCGTGCTTCAATATCCAGAACTCTGTAAGTGACCTGCAGTTCCTTCTTGCTAAGCTACATCTATTTGTCCTAGGCTGTGGTGGTGCCACTTTTTCTGGCAGGTAGGCTGAACACACCTTCCTTGCAGGTTAAAGATCACATACCTTACCTAAGGCTGTTCTTGACTTTACATCAGCTTGGATGCCTCAGTCAAGAACCCATACTCCTGACAAGCAGACTCATGGTCAGTGCATCCCATTCAGCTTTCTAACAGGGATGAGCCTCACCAGCCTGCCTTGTGTCTTCACTTACCATTCAAGAAGTTTGCACTGTTGCAGCTGGACTGTGACTGAAATCTGCTGAGCAGTTACAGTTTTAGATCCTTCTTTGTAGATGAGGTGCTGCATTCTGATGCATAAAACTTTCAGAACCTTTGTGTATCAATGTCTTGCATCTGGAAGCAAAAGCCAAGACCATCTTGCTGGCATCAAGTTTTGTGATGTGCAAAATTATTGTTTTTGAAAGATTCATGTGCTCAGGGCTGTAAGTTGGTGGGAGAGAAGGATTCAGGTATTCTAGTCTTTGCCTTGGTAAGAATTGCCATGTCAAAAGACTTGTATACCTGCAATGTAGCCCTTCCCTTTTTATTGATGCCTATATGATGCAATACCAAATTAGAGACCTGATTTGTAGACAAAACCAGACAAGCAGCTGTATCTGATCCATATCATTGGCCAAAATTCATAAATTTTACAATCTCTCTTCTAATCCTGATGTGCTGCCCTTCAATCTAGGCAGAAGGGAACACCATCAAACAGCATAGTTTAGCCTTGGTCCAGGAAGAACAACTGCAAGCACCAAAGGCTGAAATAGTAACTGAAGTAACTAAAGGGGATTTGATTTGAAGTAGAAAGGAAGGTGGTGGTGTCATGGTGTCATTTCCCCCTGCCGCCATTGATTTTTGTGATGCTTAGAGCAGGTCATCCCAACTCTTCTTCCTTGCTGGATGTGATGGGGGGATCACAAGAGCAGCACAGATAAACGACAAGCAGGAGGAAGGTCCTCTTGGACCTCATCAGATGTTTCTCTGAATAAGTAAAATTCTATGAAGGGAAAATTTGAGGTTAAAGATAAGTTTTCTCCATATTATAGAACCCTGAATGGGATGTTACTTTGGTTTAGGAGGCTGTGACCATTAGCCTTGAAACGTGTAGAAATACATGCTGGGGGTTTTATAAACAGAAGTAGAATAGCTCCTGCAAAAACAAAAATAGAATGGGTCTAATAGATCCCTTCCCATGAGGAAGATCCCTCTATCAGAAATGGCCAGACGAGGCTTATCTTTCATGCTGTAGTAACTTAAATCTGGCTTGTTCAGCCCTAAGTAGGGATCAGAGTCAAGTATCAAGAGCTTTCCTGTTCCAGCTCCAAAGTCCATTGATTCAAGATAAATGCTGGTGGAATTGGGAAGAAATCCTTGAGGACCAGGACAGCAGTGTGGCCCCTTGACCAGGAGGTCAGCCACAAAATTCTGGTCAGGTCGGTGAGAACCAGACCTGTTCCAGAACTATCCAGAAGATACCACCAGAACTATCATTCCTCCTTTATCCAAGCAATAAAACAGGGGTTTGAGTACTTTGGAGATACGTGTGCTGCTCTGTATAGCGTGCAAACAATATGCTGCTCACCTTTCTGCACAAGGCTGCAGGAACTATCCCTTACATATTCCATTCTTCAGGCTTTGCAGGCTGATGATTGTGCTGTGTTTCTTCCATGTTCTTTTTTTTTTTTTTAAATGACATCTGTGGTTATTTTTACATTTTATCTTTGTCCCTGTAGCCAAAGCCGCCTTCACCCCCCTCTCCTGATGAGATCCCCATCAATGTCAAGCAAGCATACAAGACCTTTGCAGCAGTACCCTTGTCACACCCTCTGCTTGAGACAAAGGTAATTACTGGTGGTGGCTGGATGGAATGTTACAGAAGCAGTGGAGTAGACAGAAGACTGAGCATTGCGGGTGAGCAGGGGAAGAAGGAGGGTAGGAAGGAGATAGATAGTGATTTGTTTCCTCCAAGGAAAGCTGCCATGAGAGAGGGACATATTGAGGTCCCTTGGAACCTGGGAGTCTACTCAAGTTGCAGGTGGTCACCCTGCAGAGTCCTATCAATAAATATTTTAAGTTCTGAAAGCTCATCAAATTTCATGTCCCTATTAGTCCTCCAGGACATTACAATGCTGTTGCATAGCCTTCCTACCCTGATATATAGAAACTTTCTGAACTTCCAGGCTCCAAGGCCAGGCTATACCTGTTCTGAGGTGTTTTTTTTTTTGCACAACTTTTTCTCTTTAACTTAATCAGGATTATCCTTCTCCCCTCCTTTCTCCCTCCCAAGTATTTGAATCGTAGAACCATTTAGGCTAGATGAGACTTCTGGAAGTCATCTGCTTCAGTCCTCCATGCAAAACAGGGCCACCTTTCAAGTTATATCAGGTTGCTCAGGCCCGGTCCAGCTGAGTTTTGAATATCTCCAAAAATGGAAGTTCTGTGGTCTCTGTGGGCAACCTCTTTTAGTGTCTGACCACTGCTGCTGTGAAGAGTTTTCTCCATATATTTTATCAGAGTTTCCTTTGCTGCAACTTGTGGCTGTTGCCTCTCACCTCTGAAAGGAGTCTGACCTCATGCTCTCTCTAACCCCCCGTTTGGTAGCTGGAGACAGGAGTTTGATCCCCCCACTTAACTTCCTCTTCTCCAGGCTGAAGAAGCATGGGTTTTTAAACCTCTTTTCATACTTCACGTGCTCTAGCCCCCTAGGATCATTTGATCTTGATGGTCCTCCACTAGACTTGCTGCAGTTTGTTAGTACCGTTCTTGTCCTGGACACACTGCTCCAAATGTGGTTTCAGAAGTGCCAGAGAAGGGAGAAGGATTGCTTCCCTGGACCTTCTGGCCTCACTCTAGCAGCCCAGTATGCGGCCAGCCCTCATTCTGCAAAGGCATAGCACGGACCTGTGTTCAACTTGCTGTTGATGCATCACCCACCCTGTCTTTCCTGCCTGCCCTTCCTGAAGAGCTTGTATTCATCCATGGCAGCACTCCAGTTATGCAAGCTCTCTGGAGCTGTCTGTTTGTAGACAATCATACCATTACTTCATTTACTACATTAAAGAAGCAAAACACTGTCCTTATGTTTGAAAAGACCCTCTGTCCTCTTGATCCCCTTACTAGCTTTTCTCTTCACCTTTCCTATCTGAATGCTCTTTCTGGCACATCTTTGATGCAAATGAGAACTCCTGTTTCAGAGAAGATTTCATTCTACTTTAGTATTGGTTTTTTTGCTTTCTTTCTTTCTAAATCCTCATTGACAATACCTTTCATTATCCTTCGGTGGGTCACTCTCATCCTTTTCATAATCATGCTATGTTGGGAGCTATGGTTACTCTGCAGCGACTTGCGATGGCAACTTCGTGTTTTATCTAAGCTAATCCTGTCCTGCTGCTGTCTGCCTTGTCCTGCATTGGTGCTCATCTGGCCTTCTGTTGAGCTGGTTTGGTAAATTAAAATGGCTGACAACTCTTTGTTCATTTGTTCTTTGAAGGGTTGATTTTTGGCCATTTCTAACTTAGACTGATTTACTCAGAGTTAGATGACTGTTAGTGGAAGCAAGCTTAAGGAAGCCGTTAGGACCTGCCTCTTCTGGCATTAGCCTGCCCACCGGATAATCTGATCAGAGAATCTGATCACCAGATTCTCGTGAATCAGATTGCACCTTCTCCATGGAGGGTTTCTCCTTCATAGTCTCCAGATAGTGTGTTCTGGTTTAAGACACAATTATTGATCCTGAAATAGATCACCTTATATTTTGCAGTATTCAATTATGTTCATCCTCATCAAATCAACCTGTCCTTCTAGGATGATTTCCAAACCTTTTCAATGTTATAGTGCTTGTCCTCATTCACTATAGTGGGATGAATGAAATAATTTTCAGAGGATTCTGTAAACTGCGCATTCGTCTTCTGGCCTTTGTTATTCACAAATTTTATTCCTACCTTCCTGGTGTCAGAGTCAAATTTTGTAATGAAAATTTTGTAATGAAAATGTTAAGCATGATTGGTCCCAAGACTGATCTTCAAAGTCTCAGACTAATCTATGTGTTTCCTTTTTCTCAAAAGTTATTTGTCTTATCAAAGAAGGATATTTTAGATTAATCCTGATCTCACCTTTTTTTACTTTTTTCCATTTACTTCCATTTTAACTCTTTTCATCCTTGAATATTTATCCCAGAGCTTTGTTCACTGTTGAACAAAATATCAACAGTGATACTTTTTCCCCGCCCCCAGTATCATGCTCCTTCTACAAAATTAAACTTTCTGTAAGGTTTTGGATTGCATTTGGATAGAGCTGAAATTGAAGGTAATCTGCTTGCTCTTTTCTTGTGGTTTGTTTTCATTTATGTAGTTAAAAAAACTATTTCTTATTTTTTAATTATTGTTGGCAGTTCTCATTTTCTGGTTCATGATAGATTTCATTGATCAGTTGCTTTTTCTGGTCCCTGTAGTTGTCTTTCCAATATTCTGATTTTTATTCTGTTAAATATGAATTTCATTTTTCCCGGACAGTGTTTCCACTTCTTTGAGGTATATTTTGGGTAGTTGCTGAATCTTTGATTGAAAGAAAGCCTAAGGCTTCTCCATCCTAAGTTGAGCCTTTGGCTCCAGTTTATTTCACATAACTGTTTCCCCATATTTTTCAATTTCCGCCCTTTTAAAATTGAATTATTTTTTTTTAATTTATCCCTTAAGTTAAGTTAAATCCTCATTAGTCATGATAGCCAGATCTAAGGTGGCATTGTCTTGTGTTGATTCTGGGACTGTTTCATGAGCCAGTCTGTCAGCTACTGTCCAGGAGTCCCTGGGATCTACTGCTGTTAATAAGGTGTCTTTGTCACTCAGTTGAGGAGCTTAGACTGTCATCATAACAGAACTCCTGATAGTCTGCCTCTTGCTGTCTCTCTTTTGACTAAGAGCACGAGATCGGGTGTGAGAGAGAAAGAAAGAAAGAAAGAAAGAATAAGGAGTGGTGTTTTCAGAACATACCCTTTTCTCTGTATCCTTAGGAATTGCCTGGTCAGACCAGCACAGAGAAACCCAGAACCGCCCCAGAGGTGAGTTCTGTTTGTGGAACTGGACATTGGATGGGGACTTCTGCCATTCAGGCCTTGGGGACTGTGAGCATGGGAACCAGATCCTGATGTGGGCATGCAGGGATGGCTTGGGAGGAAGAAGAGGGTGTTGATGTTGGCCATGTGGCTGGGGTTGGCATGGGTGAAGAACCCCCTTCAGGGTGGGAGGTGGGGGGAAGGATTTGGGTCAGCTGCTGGATAGACAGTGTGCCTCGTGTGGTTGTCACAGGTGCTGCTGCCAAGTGGACTGCACAGCCCAGAGCAGCGATCCTTCCGTGAGAGACAGAAGTATTTTGAGATTGAGGTGAAGCAACAGCAGATGGATAAGCCTCCCAAGCGTGTCTCCTTGGTAGGAGAGGATGACCTGAAGAAGATGAAGGAAGAGGAAGGTATGTTAGAATCTATGCAAGGAAATTTGGCCTGCTCCAGTGAATTCTTTCTCAATGGAAGGCAAGTGAGAGGGCACACACCAGGAATCCAACACCTCCAAAAGCCAATGAGTGGTTATTAATAAGGCTTGGTGATAGCTTGAGGTACTTGAACTTTAAGGAGCTGTGTAGATGCTCCACTGTTGCCATGCAGACTAGTGGAGGTGCTGTCTGGACAAGGTCCTGGGCGATGTGCTCTAGGTGAGCCTGCTTGAGCAGAAGGGTTGGACTTGATGATCTCCAGAGGTCCGTTCCAAGCTCAACCATTCTGTGATTCTAAAAGTATTTAACAGAATGGGATAAGCAGAGTTATTGCTTTGCAGTTATGTTGGACAGGTCAGAATACCTGTGTGCTTGTAGGAGTCTGTAGAGAACAGCCTGCTCACTGGCCCCTTTTGTCTCTCATCCTCTTGTGATTTGTGTGTCTGCTTGCCTGATGGTTCCCATTGGTTCAATGCCATATGTGGGGCCCTATCACTGGCACTCCAGGCTGTATTCCCTCAAGGAGGCAGGTGGGAAGGTCAGGCACAACACATGTGCGTGCAGATTCTTAGAGCTTAACATTCTGGGGGAGGGGGCAAAAGGGTCTGCACGCAACTTCCAGTTTGAGGATAAATAAACTCAGCGGGATGAGCTGCTGGAAATGTTTATGCTATAGAGTGTCCAGGAATGCTGAGAAGTGAAAGTCTCTGAAATTATAACTCCAGAGAGTTGTAGAAAAAAAGTTTAGTGAATAAGGAAGAAGGAATTCAGGGAGTGGGATAGAGCTTATTACATCTGAAGCATTAATGAAGTGGTGTAAAAATAAATGCATCTATGGAGAGGATATAGACTTAGAACAGCAGAAATTTGCAAGGGTGATGAGCATAAGGATCTGCCCAGAGGTCGCATCCCTGTGGGGGTTTAGTGAGCACTTTGTGCTCCAAGATGAGCCTGTGTTATTTTTGCAGCCCGAAAACTGCAGCAGAAACGTGCCCTTCTGTTGGAAGATGAAGGGGAAGAGGATGAGATGGTAAAACAGGCACCTGATATGAGCGTGCAATCCAGCGTCATCATTGAAGGAATTGAGTACAAGATTGAGAGGCTAAATGGAAGGAGCACCCAGGCCCCAGAAGCTCGGTAAGATAGACTGTGCTAGCTCAGTGCTACCCATGTGTTCACAGAGATGTCCCAACATCAGTAATTTTCAGGAAAGAGGGCTGGACAGCATCCCTTCTTGGAGGTAGAAATGGGCAATATGCAGTTTTTTTCCCAGCTCTTTCTTTTCAGAAGAATAGCTCCTTCAGTTCTACACCTGAGTATATAGAACCACTGATATGTGGAGATGGCTAACTCAGGATAAGCCCTGATGCTGAACCTACCCCAGCTTTGTTTATTAGGCTTTTGTTTCCCGGGTCTCCTGGACTTGTTCTCCAGGTTGCCTTGATGTTTTCCTTTTTCTTGGCCATACAGCTGGGGAATGAGAACAGCCTTCTCATAAGACCTCAGATAAAAATAAAGCTGTGGTAGATTAAAGCTGAAGCTCCTGCTTTTGGACTTGCCCTTGTCTGACTCACTCTCCTGAGTCTATGGTAAGACATTCTTCTTTTCACAAATATTTTCATTGTCAGTCTTGCAGTGGCTGAAAACACTCATCCTGTCATTTTGAATCTTGTTTTCTCCATTGTTTCTGTCTAGTCTGTGTTGAGGAACTTCTCACAACATGAATACAGTGAGACCTTCCAACTCCTGTGCTGCCCTTAGCTCATTACTTGACAACCCTAAAGAAAGGCAGCAGCCAAATGCAAACCGACTGCTTGCTTTAATGTGAAGGCCTCCTTATCCCTACTTTTTGCGTATTGAAACACGGGAGGTTAGAGAGCACTGAGTTTGGCTTTGGCTCCATCAGATTGCTTTGCTCTGTCAGCAGTGAATTTAACAAGGGAAAGCTCTGAGGGTGGGGGAGCCTGCACCTACCAGTGCTTATCTGTATAAGAATAGGCAACTGCTGGTATAAGATTTTCAGTTGCACGTTATTTGTGCTTGGACAAAGGAGAGGCAGTGGGATAGACTGAATTTGTGTTTTTTGAAATATTTTTGTCATGCTAGAACAGAAGCTGGAATTTAATCAATATAAACTTGAACAGTAAAAGTAAGGTCTCAAATTCATGGTAAACTTACTGACTGCCAGCAGTGTTACAGTAACTGTGTGCATGTTCTTAACCTGTGGAAAACACTTGATGTGGGTTTGTATGATCTCCTTTCATTTCAGGTTAGACTGAGTAGTGTCTGAATGTGCCACATCTTAAGAGTGCAGATGGTAACTACAGTTCAGCTGATCTGATGTGTGCAGTAACTTGATCGTGAGCATAAATCCTCAAAGTGTCATGCAGTTGTGCATGGAGTCGCTACACTGAGAATCAGTGCTATAAGATTGCTCAAGATTTGTCCTTACCTCCCTCCCCAGGCTTGCATTCACTTACAACCCAGGAGCATCAATTTTTTGTTAACATTTGTGCAGATCTGACATCAACAAAGGAAAAGCAGGAAGCAGCCAGGCTGCCAGTTACATAATGGCAGCTGGGAAGAGCCATGCTAGAACTGTGTAAGAACTTGTCAGCAAGTACAGTGCATTAAGGGTGCGTGTGTGTTAGTGGAAGGGGCATGGTTGACCTCCAAATGAAGAAGATGAATTCTGAGGTTAGACAGGGAGACCTTGAACTGTATGAGATCAACAAGGGAACATTTGCAGTAGTGGAGACAGACCTGTTGAGCAAAAACTCAAGTCTGTCAAAAACTGTGTCTTCAAACTGAACTAGCTGTTGCCTCCTAGGGCTTGGATCTGTTCTGAACATTCTCTGGGTATGGCAGCCTCTGGTACCATTAGCTGACATGCTTGTTTTGCTCTAGACTCTCGGAAGCCAATGAGAACAGCAGCTCGCAGAGGAATTCGCTGGAAGAGGGAATCAAGTCAGAACAGAGAACCAGCTCTGTGTCTGGGTAGGTGGATCAGCAACGTCCTTTGCCTGAGAACTGCCAGATGATAAAGCAGGCAGCTTCTGCTTTTCAGCAGATATGAGGCATAAAAGGAAGGATTTGGTGGAAAAGAGGAAACTCCTTGGAACCAGGTTTTTAGGAGTAACTGACCTTTGTGTTCTGTGTCCTTCTGTCACCCAAGGTGATGTCCTTGAACCTGGATGTGGTATAGAATGATTGATTGGGAGTGTTGGTCACCACCTTTATCTTGAGAAGAGCAGGCAGATAGAGTTGTAGTGGACCAGGCCAGCCAATCTCTCACTGCTTCCCTCTCTCTCCAGGCTGAGTCCATTATATCTTGGAGGAGGGGATCCAGTGGTGGCGCCTGTGCGGACAGCCAAAGCTGAACGGCGGCACCAGGAGCGGTTGCGAATGCAGAGTCCTGAGCTCCTGAGTGGCCAGGAGAAGGAACTTTCTCCAGCGGAGCGTCGTTTTTTTGAGGGCAGCACGGTGAGACAGAAGACTCTTCCCTATTCTCTTCAATAGGCTAGTTCAGGAAGAAGGGAGCTGCTGCATGTCTTTTTTCAGAATCTGTGGTATTAAAAACAAGGAACACACAAGCCTTCCTAAGACAGATGTTAGAGGAGGCTGTAGTAGCACATTGCTTCTGTTTAAACAGTGCACAGCACCCACTGCCTGGCTAAGCTCGTCCGCTTCAGGCAGGTGCATGAGTGAGATGTCTCTCGTATTTCAACAGCACTTGCACAATCATGAGAACATGATTTTATAAAAAAGTTGTGTTTTTTATTAAAAAAAACAACTCAAAACACATTTATACAATAGTGAATGTATCCCTTTTCTCTCAGCCCACAGCTCCCCACCTCTTTTGTAACATGTGAAGATGATATTTAGTGAAGCTGCAAGGGAACAGACTGAAAAATGAAAACGGGAAAGAGCATTTCATATGTTCAGTGTTGCTAGACGGGGAGACTTGCTGAAGCCAAGAAGTTAGCAAGACTTAGGATAATTTTATTCAGCTATTTCATCAGCTATGAATGCATAATTAAACAATTGTTTTGGGGGAGAGAATTTCCTACCTCAGAACTTAAGACTAGCAGCTAGTGCAGGCCTTTACAACACATAATTCCTTTTGAAAAGTGGTCACGCTGCTCCTAAAACTAGTTTTCTTCCCTGAGTGTTCCTGTAGGAGGTTATTCAAAGGATACTCTGAAAGCAGTCTCTTTTGGAGTTTGAATGAGACCTTCAGAGGAACAAGACTGCTAGAGACTCATCCTTCCCAACCTGCTAGATAGGGCACTGGAGGGATTGCCCTGAGTTATGTTACCACCTTGCAATGCCAGTGTTTGTGCCTAGACAGGGATGATAATGGTGCTGTCTTCCTGAGAAGGCTCTGAGGATGAAGAAATGAATGGTGCAACCCTCAGTGATGAGAGTTGGCTAATTATCTAGAGCTTTGAGGGTCTAAAGAGTCCCACTGTTGTTTGGAGATCATAACACTCATCTGCTTATGGTTTATTTTAAACTGGATTGAACTAATGTTCCCAGTACCAGAGCTCTTGTCCTTCAGGAAAAAAATTCTTGGCGTGCTCCAACTCCTTTGTCTTGAAAGAGTCCCCAGCCAGATCTGTCTCCCAGGTGGAAATTTTTCCTGAAGCACTGCCTGAGTTTCACTGCACTGCCCTATAGGGTCAGAAAACTGAACAGGTCCCTGGAAAGCCTATCTGTTGTTTGAAACCTTAACTTAGAAGAGATTGAATTCTGTCATCTTGTAGCATGCTTAATATACCTTTGAAGCTGACCCTGCTTTGAGTAGCTTTTGGACCAGGTGACCTCCAGAGGTCCCTTCCAACACAAATTATTCTGTGATTTTTTACTCAATACTCTTTTGTCGCCCTGCCCCCCCGCTAATGGAGATGCCTAAATGCAGGCACAACAATGAGTCAGTGTCTTACTATCGTGTGTTCTGTCAGGATTGTTTTCGCCCCATGCTGCTATTTTATGCTCCTGTAATGCAGCGCCAAAAACTATAGGATTGTATTTGCTACTCTGACTTGCTGAATATTGTGCTTTGTTCAGCATTTCACTCCTCTTCTAGTTGCTGCTGTTCCCATGGTTTCTGTTTCACGCATTTTCAGGTAGCATCATTTACAAATTAAGTTCTGTATTTTCACATTAAGCAAGGATTTCTTTCTTTCCTATTTTTCACGAAGATGCAATGTTTTTATCTCATTTACAGTATATTTTCTGAATAGAATGGACTTTCATGCAACTTTTTAAAATTATTCAAAAACAAGTCCTCTAAAGCAGCCAAGAGAGAAAACCCAACTCAAAAACTGAAAAAAAAAATGTTTCAAGTATATGTTTGGACAAAAAGAAGTGATTATTATTAAGCAAACTTTGTTTTTCCTGAGAGCTCACCCAGAACCAATGACTCCAAAGTATTACTTGACGAACAACCCTTTTATGAAATCTTGACAAATGGAAGAGAATTTGTGAAACGTTCTTCCTGGACTAAAGGCACTGTCCTTGTATTATAGGGCTACAAGTTGAGTAGGTGTTGGAGAGCTAATGCGTGCTTACAAACCGTTGCTGAGGAGCGGTTGGGCTGAGACTGAGGTGACTAGATCCAAATTCTTGCTATGCCTTATAGTTCCTTATGACCTTGGGCAGATCACTGGATCTTGCTGTGCTGCAGATCTCATGAGATGCTGCTGTGCTACTCATCTCTTCTGAGATGAGTGTAATAACACTTCTTGACTCATAGGGAAGCTATGAGCATAAACACATTAAAAAAATGAAGTTCAATATGATGCTGGGTAATCACCACAAAGTCAGCAGGAGTAAGCATCTAGCAGGGAGTTGCTGCTCAGTCTTTGCACCTAAAAAATCCTCCACTGTTGTATTTGACCTAGCAGAAGTTGTCTGTTCGGCTGCTCTAGCTGAAAATCAACATGACTGTGCTTTGAGATGATAGATACTGATCTCTCATCCCTTCCCAATTAGAACCCCATGCTTTTCTCTCCCTCATGCTTCCACTTCCCATGCATATCTCCTCATACTACAGGGCAGGCAGGCTGAGATAAATCAGCTCTGATTCCTTCCTAAACCTGAACATGAAAATATCCAGGGAATGCTAGAATAAAAGTTTTGTTTAAGATGGATGTAGATTGGAAGACCATGACATTGCCCATACAAACCTTTGAAAGCAAAGTAACTATGCGGACACTGCTCATGCGTCACAGCTTGTGCACGAATTAGCTCAAAAGTCTGTATTCTTACAGGAGCTTGCTGCTATTGCCAGCAAACGAAGAAACTTCTGATGCTGAAAAATAAAACAGCAATTTTTTTACTTTAATGTTAACATGATTGGCTCTTCTAACAATACCATACACCTGTCTATGGTTGTGATCCTGGTTGTGGATCAGCTGGTTATTTGCTGAAATTGCTTAGGGCACAATACAAGTTTTGCATTGCACTGTTAGGAGGATTAGTGAGTGTTAAGTATAGTGTTTTTGGCTGCTGTGTGCAGAATAGAAATCTCTGCATTCCAATGTGGAAAATGAACTAGTGAAGGGAGAGCCATTCAGATGCAGGAAGACACATGCCAAGGGGAAGCCACTTGCAATGGCCTTGGTTTTCAAGTATCAGGTCCGGTCTTACCATTTTTAAGTTCTGCAGACCAGGTCCTCAGCTCCGTTTATTTCTTCTTGCAATACCTTCCAAGGTATTGCTTTTTCCTCAGTCCTCAGAGAAGGGTCTGGCTGATTCCTTGGACAGAGCTAAGGCCTTGCTTATTTTGGCATTGGCAGGAATAAGTCGGTCACCATAACGATAGCTCCTTTTTGTATGCCAAGGATGGATACTTGAGCTCAGCGTGTGCTAGACTGTCCCCTGCTACCTCACATCTCCCAGGATGATCTGGTCTTCTTAGGACCTGTCTTCTATAGCTAAGCAGGCACAGCGATGTGATGGCAGGCAGCCAGGTCTCAGGTCTTTGTTCCAGAGATCCCCAGGCAGCACTACATATGCTGTGTGGGAGGGAGGACTAGGTTGCCCTGCACATGATGCTGCAGCCTCACTAACCTGTATTTTCTTTAAGTGCATGTCACTGACCTTATTACTTTCTTTCTAATCTTCTATCTTCTGCTTCTTTCTAGTTCTCTGATCTGTGTGCTGTCACTCCTGACCTCATCAGTTTGCACCTTCTTGGGCTTTCCTTTCACGCGCTCCGTCATCAGTGCCTTGCCATGACATGTGTTCCTCCCTTGCTCTGTTCCCCCCTCCACCCCGAAATGCTCTTTTGAGACAAATGCACTGGGACTCATGCTGCATAAGTGGTCTGAGCACACACACACATAGGAAGAATGTGATTGAGAAGGTACAGGCACATATCCAGAAGGGACAGAAGGTGTCTAGAAGGGGCTGTATGCATCTTAGCAGTCTTCCCCAATATGCAAGTGCTTTTTTTCTGAATGCACTCTCCTTTTCAATTGCGTGTGTTCCAGGGACTGTGGCAAATACTTCACCCTCCTGATGCGCTTGTGCATTTTGCATCCTCTTTTCTCATGGTCAAGCAAGGATGCATGCTAACAGATGGACAGATATGTGTATTCAAATGTACACTAACGGCTGTCCAAATTTGTGTGCATGTGTGTGCATATGCACGTGCCCACGCGCACACACACTCTGTCATGTCTTGAACTCAGTCAGCTTCATGCATGCATACATACACAATTCTTTGCAACTACCTGCTGAGTCCTTTCTGTTGGTCTACTGGGTCTTTCTAGTCCTCTTCTCCCAGTACATGAGGAGGGCAGTCCCTAGATGCTGAGGCTGTAAAGGCTGATCCTTCTGGGCACGTCATCCCAGATTGCCCTCTGGAGGGTCCTGCTTTTTTTGCAGCAGTTGGTATTGGACAGGATCAGATATAGGAGCCTGTTTTAATCAAGGCTACCCCTATATCAGACACACATTTTTCCTCACTAGGGTATGTGCTTGTATCTGTTTCTTTCTTTCCCTGCGCTAGTCTGCTGTGATGTTCATTACCATCATCTCCTCTTCTTCTTCCTCCTCCTCTTCCTCCTCCTCCTCCTCCTCCTCCTCCTCCTCCTCAGATCCTCAGCTCTTGAAGACAGTATTAAACAGTACGAGCAGGATCTGGCCAGGAAGTTGTACCAATCCCGACAGTGGGCACCTGCTCCTGGGGCCAGGCCAGCTCAGATGCCTAGTCCAATGCAGAGTTACGTCTCAAGAATCCCTGGGTCAGGAAGCCAATCCAGGTGTGCACAGCCCCTCCCCTGCCAGCTGCATGTTCAACAATCCCTGTCTGTATCCTTGCATCCTAGTGCAGTGCTCCCTGCTGTGCCCTGTTACAGGTAGGGAGAAAATTTTAGTGTAGTTGCTGGTGCTCATTAACTTGAGGTCCTGCAGACTACTGGCAGTCATCTCAATGAGAATGAGATGGGGGGATGCTGGGCTTGTCTGATATTTGGGAAGCAGACACTTCTCAGAGTTGAGCCTACGTTTTCTTAGGCAGCTCATAATCTCCTCATGGCAGAAGAGGGTTAAGATACAACACACTGAGAGCACAAAAGAGACTAAAGCCCATGAAACCTGATCCTCCTCATTTGAGCCCAGGCAGTTCGCCTCCCTCCTTCTTAACTTGGGTAACTCCCTCCCATCATATATGGCACCTCCAGAAAGGCCTGCAGCTTCCTGCAGAGTTGGTGCTTAGCTCTAGATTCTGTCTGTTCAAGGCACTTGATGGTGTGTGTGTGTGCGCGTGTGTTTCAGGATATTAATGTCTGATGACAGCAAATCAAGCCGTTCTCCTTTTGTACTCTGAAAGTCTGTCTCCCTCAGGAAGCCAAGGGGCCAATGTGCTAATCTCACCTTTCTGCCCTCAGCGTGTTGTGTGTGGTCTGGCTGCTTGGTACAGAAGAGATAATACAGATAATACAGATAATAATCTGTTACAGAGATGGCAATGTCTGATGTCTGTTGCTCTCCACCCCTTCTTTCTGAGGCAGGATGAAGTCACTTGAACAGGATGCTCTTAAAGCCCAAATGGTTATTGCTAAGTCCAAGGAGGGAAAAAAACGCAGCACTCTGGAGCAGCTGGCAGAGTCACCTTCACCTGCTCCTACCCCATCACCAACTCCACTTGAAGGTATTGTATAGCTATCCCTACCTGTGAGGAATAAAAGTTATTGGTTTTTGTTTTTGTTTTTTTTTAGCTAAGCTTCTTTCTGTGCTTGAAATCAGACCTTTTAAAAACAGCTTCCTCATTCTGCCTAGACTGGAAGGTCCTTTGGGGCCTATGACATCTCTCAGCATAGGGGATAGTCCCATCCTATAGAAAACTTAAGAGACTAAAACATCTGAGGTATGGTTCTAGGGAACCAGAGCAGAAGAAAACACAGCATCATGACCAAAAAGACAGGAAAGAGGCACTTGTGCTGAGGAGGCAGTCTCCTGAGCATAGTCTTTTATTACACTTATATGTTGCTAAATGGCAGGGGAAGTGTTATGATGTGTAATACAGCCATTCACTAAATAGGGCTTTCACATTTTTTTCTTGCAGACTGCAGTCCCAGGAATGTCACTTCTCCAGGAAGGCTGGTATGAGATACTTCTGCTTACTTTTGTTGTTCTGCCTGTAATCCTGGGATTTGTCAGTCACTGACCTGGGGTGTGGATCATACATCTGGGCCATAGGATCCCTACTTAAATACTTTACCCAGGTCTGATTGCATGATGTGCAGAATGGTGATGAGGGCATCTTGGCACGGAATTTTAACAACTGAATTTTAGTGTCTCCTTTCGGTTTCCCTGTTTTATTATTCCACCCCTTTCTTCTCTCTTCGTCCATCTCTGCATTCAGAAAGCCTTTCATTCCAGATACTTCACCTGCTTGTCTTCTTAATAGCATAAAACTGAGAAGTCCAGCTGAAATCGGCATCTTGCTTTTTCTAGACACTGTATAAATGCAACAGGATTGTTGCAAATAGCTGCCAAAATTAGTAAGATGGACAAACAGAAGAGTGGGAACAGCTGCACAGAGGGGACACAGCTTTGCCCAAGGTCACACAGTAGAGCCAACTCTGGCTTGAAATCTTGGCTATGCTAAAACTATCAGAAATCTTGCCAGTAATTTTTCCATGAAGATAGGGTTGTTACCTAACTTGATGTGCAGTTTGCTGGAGCGCACAATGCCTTCTCTCCATCTTGGAGCTCCTGTCCTGACACCAGCAGAGATAAAAGACAATGTCCCAGAGATGTCTCATTTTCAGAGACTGTATCCAGGCACGCCTTGGCACTAACTGAGAACGGTGCTCTACCTCTGCATTTGTTTCTGAATAAATCCCTCTGCTTGCTGCGGTTTTTTCCATCTGTTCCTCTCCCCTTACTCTTTCTTCTCTGTTTCCTCTCTTGCTGTCCTTTCTAGTCCCTGTCCGAAAAGAAGTTTGACTACCGGGAATTTGCTGCTATTCCTTCTTCCAAACCTGTTTACGAAATCCAGGTATAAACTGCATGCTGAATTCCTGCCAGCTACTAGATTGGTTAGAGCCCGATTTGATGGTAGTGCCTGCAAATGCGGTGATGACCTGGAGTAGAGGTTGAACTACCTCTTCAGAGGGCCTGTCTGTGTGGGAGGCAATGATGACTAGCCATGCTATATAATTCAGGTGTTCCTGGAGACTTCATTCGAGTGGGATGGTGAAGAAATCAGTCAAGATGGTTTTAAAACTAATGACAAAGCCTTTGCAAATATAAAGCAGCTCCATCTTCACCTTAGAGCTTCATTTCTCAGTGCTTTTAAGGTCACCAAATTTGGGCATGATACAAGCCCATGGCAACTCTGGCAAACGTCTAGAGACAATTGATTGATTCTGAAACATTTTAAAGTGAAAAATGAGAATTAAAAGGGGGAAAAATGAGAATTAAAACTGACTGCCAACAAGTTGCGAATTGGAGCAGATGTTAATTTCAAACTAGAATGTATCCAGCATCCTGCCAAAGAAACAGATGCAAAAATTGCCATATACTGTAACTATACTGTAGATGAACTGTGAAGATGTCGGCTGTCTGCTAGGTTGTAATTGCATGTCAGTTCTCTGCACGCACCTGAATAGTGAAGAAGGTTGATTTTGCCTATGAAGCTAGGCCTGGAAACACTGCAGATGCAGAATTAGGATCCAAGACTTTCAAGACTGTCAAGGAAGTGTAGATTTCTCATGTCTTGGCTTTCATGTTTCTGTTCCTTTTCTTCTTTATGCTTTCTGCCTCTCCTGTCACGTCCTACACCCCCCCCCCACCCAAAAGTATTAAGAGGCTAGCTTTGCTGGGCAGAGGCACTTCTCATCTTGCAATTCAAGCAACAGACTACTCAACTTTGGCACAAAGGATGAATGTATTATCACGTGCATTCACCGAGTGTCATGCCCCAGCTGCTGTATCAACAGCGCTTTTGAGGGCAAAAGGTTCTCTCTAGTGTGTTGGAAGGCTAAAGGCGGGTAATTACCTGGCACTAACGTTACAGAGGTAGATGTTCATGTATTCTGCTCTTTTACAGTCACCTGATGCAGCTGATGATCATAGATACATAGATGACAGCAGAAATAACTCAGGTAAGCTGATGGCTGAGGGGGAATCCTCCTTGTACTACTTGCTTCCCATCACGGTTCTAGAGGATCCCCTTTGCCTGCCTGTGGAATCGGCACTGAGGACATCAGTTTCTTGCTGCTTGAAGCAATGTCCTTTTTTTGTCCCTTTCTAGAATGAACCCTCCAAACTCGCCACATTGAGTTTTGGGTAGGATTTCTGCATTGTGCTTTAGGGATGACTAATTTGCTGGGAATGATGTGTAACAAGCATGCCTAGTTTCTTCCTTCTTTTTAGAGCAAAGAGTGGTGGCAGAACATGGGTAGGAAGCTTTGGCCTCTGGCACCTGCAGTAGGTAGATAACGTACATTGCTCAGGGTCTGCCTAGAGCCCGTGCTGCAGGCAATCAGCTTCTTTGCTTTAGCAAAAGGTAACAGCAGATAAATTGTTCCTGATTTAGGGCTTCAGAGCATTTGGATGCCTGAGTACCCAGGTGACTTGCAAAGTCTGACCTTGAGGGTATGTGTACTAGAGGGCCTAAACAAACAATATTGAAACCTTTTGACTGCTAGATCTGTTCAGGTCATGCTGGCTACTGTAGGTCTTCCTGTCCTCGAGTATAATAGAGAGGCTCAGACTATTGTCTGTTTCTTTTTGGGTGGCTGTTGCAGTACCGTGGAGCTCAGCAGGGCCTGCTCCTTAATAGTAGTTTTGTTTCTTTTAACAGTTAGCACTGGTTTTCTTCTCCCTATTTGGCAACTTTTCTTTTCCCCCTTGAATTTACACAAGAAACTCCTTCTGTCTTGGTTTTATCTTGGTAAATTTCCTCTCTGAGTAAAGGCAGCTGATCCTTGTGTTGGCCATTTCCAGAAGGAAGTTCTGCTGCAGGGATCCTCAACTAAAACTCATTTTCCTGCAAATAGTATCTTGTTCATCTGTCAGTGTAAATCTCTCAACCCTGGGTTTCTTTTCTGAGATTGTCTATTCAGTCAGCCTACATAACTAGGGAGTTTATAGAAGCATCGGGAATTAATCAGCACTTGCATAGGGACTTCAAACCTCGCTATTGCCTATCATCAGTCTGTTGGGTCCTCAAAAGAGAATAAAAGCCATATTATTAGGTGATGAAGGGAAAAAAAAAAGACCATGATGCTCTATTAAGAGTTTTTTGACCTAGTCTTTAGGCTAGGTAGTCCTTAGATCACCGCTGTATGAGGCTGTGGTATGAGTGAGGCACCAAAAAGCATGCAGTTTTTCCAAAATTCATTCTGGAAGGACAGCAGATTAAGATGCAACTATGCTATTTTGATATGAGACAAAGCTCTCAAGGTCCCTCACATCGCACCCCAATCTGGTTCTTTCAGCCAGTGCAGCATTTCAGTCAACATATAGACATTTTTTTTTTTCTTCATTCATTCATGGAGCCTGCATAAATTTTTGGCAAGTTTTAGCATCTATATCTGGAATGAAAAACTCCTTTTCAGCATCCATTCCAGTCACCTGCCAGTCCTGCTTTTGTCTCTTTTCAAATATACTTCTTGGAATACATGGAGAAAATATTTGAATGAAATATTTTTTCCTCAGGAAAAATACTCAAGTTAGAGAGATTTTTATTTGCCATCTTCCTTACCATAAAAGGAAAAAGAAAGAAAACCTTTATCAAAAAACCTCTGTGTCTGTGCCCTACTGCTTCCAAACCCACCCCACCGCCCAACACTAGCTTAATTGGCAGCTCCTAGCAGTCCAGGCACCAGTTTCTACAGTGATTAGGTTCATGTCCAGGTGAAGTACCCTCCTTCACAGTGGCCAAGGATACAAAATTGTGCTCTATGCCACAGCTAATCAGATGTTGCAACAACTTGATCTATATCTGTTTTAGAGTCTGCACAAGAAATTGTTGTGCCCTTATCCCTTTAATAATGCTAAATATGAATTAATGTTTCCAGGGTTATATACCTTGTCCTATATATGCTTGCTAAACTTTGAGGGATTCATATATCCTATTGGGCCTTTCACTTCTGTGTGAATTTAATACAGCTTTTAAAAAGTCTAATTGTTAAAATTGCTGTGACACCTCTTCTCTGTATTCCTTTACCACATTAGGATTTTAATCAAAATTGTCCTTGGTCCTTTTTGACCATATGATAAGCTCTTAAGCAATTCCTCACCTTTTTGCTAGAAAACTGTTACAAGTAGAAACTCCAAGGCTATCTTACTGCTGATTGCAGGAAGTTTTAGTGTATCTTTCTTCTTTACATCTTTCAGAACACCACCATTACCTTCCTGCCCATCACAGATGGGCTCTAAGAAACAGTCTTTCCCATTCGCAGATCTGACTTCATGGTCTGCAGCAGATTCCTGTCATCAACTTTTAAACTTGTTAAAACATTTATTCTAATCCATTCAGGAGGCCATGAAATTAATGAAACAAATAGTATTATTTGTGGGGTGCAGTGGTACCATGCTGTGTGCTTGATTTCCAAATCACTTAAAGCCAGAGGCTTATGCCTCCCAGCCTTATAACTGTCAGGTTTCAGAAATATGTCCTTAATAATAAGCAGTAGGTCTTCCTACACCAGTATCCTGTTTGGCTGGAAGTGAGTTCTTAGAGGGAGACTAAGAAACAGAGAAGTTGAGCTTGCTTACATGCATTACATCCCAGCAACAGGACAAGAGGCAACAGGCAGAAACTGAACCACAGGAAGTTCCATCTGAACCTGAGAAAAAACTTCTGTCACTGTGAGGGTGACAGAGCATTGGAACAGGTTGCCCAGAGAGGTAGTGGAGTCTCCTTCCCTGGAGATATTCAAAACCCGTCTGGATGTGATCCTGGGCAATATGCTCTAGGTGACCCTGCTTGAGCAGGGAGGTTGGACTAGATGATCTCCAGAGGTCCCTTCCAACCTAAACCATTCTGTGTGATTCTGTGATCTTCTCTATTTTTTTTAATCATGTATTAATTATGGTTGTCTTAAGGCAGATATTGTATCTGGTTCATCAGTGGAACTATCTGTCATAAAATTGTCTAGTATTTCCAGACTACTTATTTTTTAATCTTTCATGACACTTTGTGGCGTTGAGTTCCATAATTGGGCATTTTGTTTACGCTAATTCTGTTTGCTGGTAACTTCCTTCATATGATGCTGGTGCATCATAACGCTGTTGAAGAGGGCTGGAAGCTGGTGACCTCTCGTAGAAGGAGAAAGGCTCTTGCTCCTCCTCAAGACTTACCCTTGAAGAACAAGTTTAGCGCCCTCCAAGGCTGGGCATGACTTCAAGGGAAGCTCCTGGCCTGACAGACCCCGTGCCATGTGGGAACACCTAGAAGAAGCGGGGAGTGATTGTTGTGGGTGACTCCCTGCTGCAGGGGACAGAGGCACCTATCTGCCGACCTGACCTCTTGTCCAGAGAGGTTTGCTGCCTGCCAGGGGCTCGAATAAGAGATGTCATGGAAAGACTGCCAAGGCTTGTCCATGCATCGGACTACTGACGTCTGCTGCTCTTCCATGTGGGCGCTAACGACACAAAAGGCAAACTGGAAACCATCAAACGGGACTTCAGAGCTCTGGGAATGGTGGTGAAGGGTCTGGGAGCCCAGGTTGTTTTCTCCGCAATCTTGCCTGTGAGGGGGAAGGACGGGAGGAGGAGTAGACGAGTTTTCCAAGTTAAAAACTGGCTGCGCCGCTGGTGTTGGCAGCAGGGCTTTGGTTTCTATGACCATGGAACGCTGTTTGAAGATCAACAGCTGATGGGGAGTGATGGGATCCACCTTACCAAGCGGGGCACGCACGTCTTTGCCAACAGATTGGCCAGCCTGGTACGGAGGGCTTTAAACTAGGCAAGATGGGGGAAGGGGAGTGGTATAGTGGC